GCCGCCATTCAACATACATTCTGGACATCCTGATCCTCCTCACAGGCCGGTTCACATCTGGTTCCCAGACCCACATAAGTAAGTACATTATACATATATATTTATTGTTCCGGTCACCTTCCTGATATGTTCGGTCCAGGCAGTCAGTTGACCTAGTTTTGCGCCCTCTTGTTGTTCTAAGAAGGCTGGTTAGACCCCACAGAGCCCTGCTACCCTGGTGAGGCCCCCTCAAAGTTTTGGTGAGACCCCCCTCTGTATGTGCGTTATAATAGAAATTAATCGATTAATCGAACAGGAAAATGTTAATCATTACCAGCCTATATAATATATATATATATATATATTTTGCCAGTTGCTTGGATAGACATGAAGACACTGAAAAATGTCATTAGCAACTAAATGTATTTAGTTGCTAAGGAAATTCTGTTTACATCTTGTTCGGTGGCTAGATTCCCCAAGGCTCCTTCTCTGCAGTAAGCTGGTAGGGGACATGCTTTTCAACTCGGCTGCGGCTGATTCAAAAAAACAAATGAACTATAAGACTTTGGACACATAAATTGATGTGGAAAGCATATAGCTGATTCAAATTTCAGTTGGGCTTTAACATGTCAACAACATTGTTTACACTGACATGATAACATTCACTAAAATTCAGAACTTACCTTCATCCGACATTCTTTCAGCAACCCTTCAACAAACTTGGAGTTGGTCTGGGCTATGACGGCAGGTGAAAGATCAGAGAGTTTTGGTTGTCTCACCGTCTTGCCCAGGCTTCTTGCCTCTTGCATATATTTCTATAGGAAAAAAAGATCAAACACTTTGTTAAAGGAGAATTCTGCTTTGTTTCCTGCATTCTCCCTCCAACACTTTCCAGACTGTGTTATCCGAAAGATTCTGGGCGTTTTCAAAGTTCCTCCTAAGATTTTCCACATGGGGAATAATGCATAAAACAGGAGCAAGGAAACACCGTAAACCTTCCACGAACCTGGGGAATTTAAACCAATGGAAGCAAACATAAGCAAAGGTTAACTTCAAGGAAAACCTTTAATAAAAATGATCAGCAAACCCAGAGATGTGGACAGCTGGAGTTTTGTGCAAATATTGACTTTTAATGTAAGCCAAGCTTAACCCCGCCTTTTCTCTTTTATGCGCCCCTTTGGTCAGTGGGGTGATTGATCAGTTTTCTAAAGTGTATGTCAAGGCAAAATAAGAAAACAATTGCAGTACATGTCTGCAAAAACATCCAGATTTCTCCATATTTTATCACTTTAAAGACTCAACAAGTGCAGAAAAATGCCTGATGATCTGCCAGAAATAAACTCTGCTCCGAAGTCTTGTAGTGGTCTGAACACAGCATTATGTGGACAGAGTGGACAGCATATTTGTGGAGTGGTGTCAGCCCTGCCCAATTTTTTCTTGCCCCAATTTGAACTAGGTTTCCTTGCTCCAGTTTATATACATTAAGAGGTGTATTTACAAACAATCCATAGAGCCATTCATCCTGTGAAACTCCATGAAAATTGAAATACTGCAATATGGCCACTAGATGGAGCAGACGAGCATAGAAAATAAAATTCTATCCTATGCTTCTTACTGCCATCTAGTGGCCATAATGCAGTATTTTCCTAATATTACATACAATTTGAAAATAAAAAAAAATACTAAGAACGTTTGTTTTTGCCTCCATTAGCACAGAAGAAATTTGAATGGAGTTTCACAAGATGAATGGTTTTGTGAATTTTTTTATAAATACTAGGGATGCATCGATATCAATATGGGTATTTGGGCGAGTACCCGTGCTCGCCCAAATGCTCCTCATACCAGAACTTCCAGTATAAGGAAGTCGGGCAGCGAGTCATTACTCGGCACCAGGACGCATGGAGCTGGTTTCACAGCCAATGAGGAGGCCGGGCAGTGAGTCATTACCCGCCCCCCGGCTTCCTGATTGGCAAAAAAGCCATCTCAATGCTACCTCATCACCGGGTGACGAGGGAGCATGGAGCTGGCTTTCTGGCTACTCAGGAAGCCTGGCAGGGAGTCATTACATGCTGTCCAGCTTCCATAATGGGAATTCCAGTATCGGCGAGTACGAAAATTAAATATCTGTACTTGATACCAAAAAACGGTGTGGGCCGTCCCCTTAGTGTAGACCCCTTAGTGTGCAGCAAGCCATGTAGCCTCTCTGCCTCGTGTTTAAATTTGATATGCCCCAAAGTGCACTGCTTCAGCACCTGTCAAGTGAAGACACTCAGTGACGGTTAGGAGGCAAGCCTTGCTATTATGGTTAACCTTTGTGTTGTGTGCATTCCCCCCAAAATTTAAAAGACAGAAACATAGCCACAGCCTGCACAGCCTGCACAGACAAAAAGCACATCAAATCTCCCTAAAATAAATACAACACATCTGCAGTAGTTATTTTCCAGAGGTGGACAAAGCAATGTATGACTAAGGCTTTACAAAAGCTAAATACAAAAAAAAACACTTTCATGAGAAGCAGGTTCAAAGCCTTCTAGACTACAAAGCTTTGTGTGCCCATCTATACAGCGGGACTACAATGAAGGTTCAGGGATGACTGCGTGCAGCAACACAAGAGGCAGCTGTAAGTAAAGCAAACATACCAGACAGCACTCAGAGAAGGACTTTTTTGGAGGTCGAGTTGGAGCGGGGAAGCCCTCATCCCACTCCCAGAATGCCATAGAGTTCTGACGGATCAGGACCTCCTCACATGGCTTACGAGGAGACCCAACACAGCAAGAGGGACAGAAAAAGCAAAAAAAAAAAAAAAAAAAAAAAAAAAAAAAAAAAGAAAGGAGACCCAACACAGCAAGAGGGACAGAAAAAGCAAAAAAAAAAAAAAAAAAGAAGAAGAAGAAGAAGGAGACAAGCAGGCATGCACATGATCCAGATTAAAAGGAAAGAAAAAAAAAAAAGAAAAAAAACGTAAATACATAAAAGCAAAATGAAAAAACAACACAGCATGAATGCAACAAACAAACGCAAAAGGAAACCAACACAAAAGAGATACAATGACACGTACACAGGAAACAATACTTTCTGAAGGAATCTGTCTTTGCTACAACAGAATTCTTCAATGGGTTTATTTCAGTGACATACAATGTAACATAAAACAAAGTGTCATGTGGAACATTCAGTGGTGCAATGCCAAAAAGGGCATTTACCACAGGAGCCAATCAGCTTTCGGGGTGATTCTGGTTGGATGGTACGGATTTTAGCCCATTAAAGTTAATAAAAAACATGCTACATGAACATAAAAGAAATGCTTCTCATTGAACAGTTTCACAAAAAAAGAAAATCCAAATGTTACTGCAGCTTAGTGCCTTAGAATACCGACTGCATTAAATGCCCTGGGAACCCCTTAAAAGGTGACAGTCTCAGTAATATTTTTTCATGCTAACTGTAACACTTCCAGGTATTTATTACCTCACAGAGCTCACATAACTCCCCCTGACAATGCCTTCATTTGCTCTTCTTTCCAGAAGGACGGAGCAATCTTTGTTCAGGCATCATACAGGGTCACCATCTACTTCTTGGATTGAGATGGCAGCTCAGAGATGGCACAATCATGTAAATCCCGGTGTCTGTGCAGTTCTTGGGTGTACCCACAAATGTCTGACACAGATTACCTTCTGCAGTAGCCTCTCATCTTGTGATGTGTGACAAAGTGACAATATTGCAGTTTCATCACTGGGAGAGAGGAGACTGAGGAAATGCTTTCTCCGGCCTGCAGTAGAGTGACGACATCCTAACAGGCTAGGCAAAGTCACTGGACTGAGGCTCCAGGACAGCTTTGTAATGATAAAGGTGGCGCTTTTTCAATTAATAAAAACCCAACCAATTCTATTGATCTTTATTGTGACATGCCAGGAATGTATTCCTCTGGACTTGTAAAGTTTCTGAAAGATCCAGTTTAAGACATTTCAGGCAACGTTATCTTTCCTTGCACATATTGCCTTGGAGGACAAAGCTTGCCAACGACTATCCTCATGCCAAAACCCCACACACGTGATAGACCTAATAGGCCCCCAAATGAAAGAGCTTATATAGCTGCTGCTGTTAATTGCCCTATAGATTGTAAGCTCTCATGCACAGTCCTCCTAATCCTCTTGTATGAAATTGTATTGCAACTGTACAGTCCCGCCATATTTTGTAAAGCATTGTGCAAACTGATGGTACTATATAAATCCATAATAATAATAATAATTTTGAGGCTCAACTGTCAGCCTGCAACAGGAAATGCTGCTACCGACAGGATCTTTGGTAAAGAAACTGCAGCAGAAAGAAAACTGTATACAGTAAGATAGGATAGCAAACATACTGAAGAATAGAAACATTAGAGAATAAAGTGGCAGTTAATGACAAGAAGCGCACTGACAGAACAGGACGGCAGCGGGAAGCTCGGCTCGCAGAGATGACAGATTGTCGGCGCTGGAATTTGGCAAATTCCTTTGGAGAACAATTTGAAGTATGAGGTTTGTTCACTGCACCCAGCAGACCAGCACACAATAGGCACTATTCATGGCCTGAAGTGACCGAAGTAAAGAGGGAGGGGTGACTCGGGGACAAGAGGATATGCTCATCACTAGGCAGGCAACCTGTGACTTTCCCCATCCAATGTGGCCACAGTGGTGATCAGCTTGTGCTGCAGTATTCGAAACCTATCACGGGTTAAAAGGGTCATTAAAAGGGACCTACGGTTAGGATAAAAAACAAAACAAAACATGCAAGTGAACTGTAAGTAAAGTTCTCTAATTCTCCAATGAGAGTGCTTATTAGATTTTGCATTGAACTATAACACAACCAACACCTGCCTGCTTGACTACAAAACTCTGCCTATCCCCCTGCTCTTCTCTGTCAGGCTTCAAAATGCATACATTAATTTATTTACCAGCAAAGCAATGCAGCTGCCTTGACTACCAAAACCTGACCACACACTATGTGTACAGAAAGAGCTGTTGGGAGATGTAGTTCTGGGGGCGTGGCTGGCCTCCCAAGCAGCTGCCCCTGCAGTTTTACAAGCCTTATGATGATGTTGCAGAGTTTCACACTACACGAACAAGGTAAAAATAAGATAATGCTGTGGCATGCCCTAGTGGGGGTAAATTTGAGTAATGCCCGGACATCCACTTTGGTCGCAGGGAGGGGAAAGTAATAAGATCACCGGAAGGGATAGAAAAAGGTGAGGGACGTGTGGGGAAACAGTTTATTTCTGGGATCTAAAGATGTATGAGATGAATCACCGCTTTGACGGAAAAGGTAACAGCTTATGTTATTGTATTAGATTGTTAGCTGGAATCGCTCATGTTTGTGACAACTTTACAGAGAAGCACAAAGAGCTCATGCAGACTTTCTTTTATCCTCATGCTAATACTAAACATGCAAACAGAATTTTAAACACTCAGAGAACACAAGTGAATTAAGCATGTTGGTTTCTGGATAAACTAGCTCATTAGCATGCAAATGACAACAGCAATCACAGCAAATAATTCCCTCATTGCACATCAGGAAAAAGTCACCCAGATGAAGACAAGCTGGCCAGCAGACACGAAACAGACTGCAATGTGCTTTTCTAGCAGCTGAGAATTATGACGTGACCCTTTATCATTACATGCAATTAGCGCCATGCTGTGACATCGTACAAATCGTTACAATTCCTTAAACAAGCTGGTTTGCATATTGAAAGCCATTTATTTATTTATTTAAGGCATTTATATAGTGCCAACAATTTTTACTCAGCACTTTACATACTGCACATTCGCATCAGTGCCTGCCCTTG